TTCTAACGATTCTAATGGATTCACAAGTTTCAAAATCAATGTTCTAAAGCAGCAGTTTTCATCCTGTTCCTCACGTCACCCTGCTCTGCACACGCTCTGCATCTCTCTCTCTCTCTCTCATTCATATCATCAGCTCAGTGAATACACTTATTTTCACATACTATAGCTATGAGAAGCGTTATACATGGATGCGCATGTGGTTGCCGAACTGTATTAAAGCTTTAATCAGAATAAAACCGTATATTAAAAGCTAACAGAAGTATTAGCATTTACAAATAACAGTGTATCTAAAAGTATGAGACAACAACAAACAAAAATCTTAGGCCTACCATTAAAAGCTGTGCTTGCACAGGTTCTGCACGATCCTCTTCAATAATATCCTCTGCGTCTCAATCGGGCTCAAACTGATAAGCACAATAGACGACGCCATTGTTTACAATACAACCGTAGCACATGCCGCTGAGCTGAGGGGCGGGACGTTTAGATTTGCACTAGAGGCGGTTTAGCCAATCACAACACACTGGGCCAGCTAACCAATCAGAGCCCATCGTGTATTTCTGAGGCAAGGGCTTCATAAAAGAAAGAAATGATCAGCGCGTTCAGAGGAGAAGGGACAGAGCGGTGTGGAATAAAGGTAAATTATGTGGAAAATAATGAATTTTTTAACAAAGGAAGCATTAACACATGTTAGACTGCACCCCATAAACACAATCAAGCACGATCCTCTTCAATAATATCCTCTGCGTCTCAATCGGGCTCAAACTGATAAGCACAATAGACGACGCCATTGTTTACAATACAACCGTAGCACATGCCGCTGAGCTGAGGGGCGGGACGTTTAGATTTGCACTAGAGGCGGTTTAGCCAATCACAACACACTGGGCCAGCTAACCAATCAGAGCCCATCGTGTATTTCTGAGGCAAGGGCTTCATAAAAGAAAGAAATGATCAGCGCGTTCAGAGGAGAAGGGACAGAGCGGTGTGGAATAAAGGTAAATTATGTGGAAAATAATGAATTTTTTAACAAAGGAAGCATTAACACATGTTAGACTGCACCCCATAAACACAATCAAGCCTAGAAAAAAAACAGTCAACCACCCCTTTAAACCGCATAAACACATTTCATTACACCAAATACACAAAATAATGTTCTTTTTAGCAGCATCATATGACCCCTTTAAAACTCACTTCACACTCTATTACTCTCTTTTTTTAAATATTTGCGCTCTGAATCAACAGTCTTCTAACTCCACTCTCTCTCATCCGTAAAATGGCTCCTTTCTCAATTGACCATATGCACGGAGCGCTATTTAGAACTTCCGGATAAAGATAAGCCAGCTCATAATCTTCCGGTTTAGCTCATTTTATTTATGTGCTATAGGTAGAGACTCTCACAGAAACCTCTCCTGCCTCATTCTTATCAGAAACTGAGAAACAAAATAATTGCAACACCACAAATAATGATAGCGGAATTAACATACTGTTTTATGTTATTAAAGAACATATAAATTGATATGCTGAGTTTGGTAATCCTAGAAAAGTAGGCTACCCAGACATGTAACTGTAGCCTACATTTAAAGGCTGACAAATAAACACTATCTTAACCAGGGCCGCTGCTGGCCAAATTGGTGCCCTAAGCAGGACTGTATTGTTGTGCCCCCCTTCCTCAAATATTATGGAAGTTACAAAATTTTTTTTTATAAAAAACTACTATAGGGGTCAAAATAGAACTTAAATAAAAATATAAAAAATACTAAAATATAAAAGTAAATCAATTGTATTATTTACAAATTACAATTGTAGCTCTAGACAGTTACCTATGGCTATGACTTTATTAATACAGTTTTCTAATTGATTTTATAGTCTCAAGCATTCAGAAATCACGCAAAAGAAAATTAAGCAGTTTTACTGCGATACAACCATGGTTTATTTTTGTAAGGGTTGTGATGTCCAAGTTTTTGTTGAAGAAATTAGAGGCTGTGTCATCTATAGCAAAAAGCATTAAATGTGTTTAAAATTTTGATTTATGCTTATTATTTTTTGATCCGTGACCATTGTTTGCTATTCTGAAAACTTTGCTTTCATTTATAAATTTTGTGCAATATAATTTTACTTGCATTTTTACATTTTGGTTTCACGCTTGTTGTTTTTTATCCGTGAATATTTCGCGGAAATCTGATCACATAGATGGGTTGCCGTGAATAAATTTCTGTGTGCATATGATATGACGATAGTTTCTCTCAAATGAAAAGGTAAAATGCTCATGAAGTGACTCTGAGAAGTTCTAGGGATTGTTTATGTGTTCCTGTACTCATATATTGAGGTGGCATATGCTGAAATCACCGCGAGCATCACGGGCACTTCAGTATGCGTCTGCGCCTTTCATTCACACAGGCACACACAGAACATGCAGGATTCATTTTTAAATAGTATTTTTGTTGCTTAATATGTAGCCTACATAAATTCCGTATCGAGATTTGACTTAAGTGTAATGACCAACTTTTGATTAAATCACCCCAACTTTGACAAATTCCGTGATGTTCCGCGTTATACAGTAAATTCAATTTTTATTACTGGATTCCGCGATTCCGTCTGAATGTTTCGCATCGCGGAAATCAAAGGGCCCTAGTTTCATTTTCATCTGGATCTGCACCACTTAACGTCTTGTCTATCTCCATCTTTCTTGTGATTTAAGCGCCAATTTGTTCTCCTGCCCATCATTCACTGCAGTAGTTTCAGGGCGCAAATTTTTAAAAAAAATTTTTTTACTCAGTAACTAATGTGTTTTAAAATGTAGCGAAGTACAATACTTCAAACAAAATATACTTCAGTAAAAGTAAAATTACATATTTAAAAAATTACTTACTAAGTAGAAGAACACAAAAAAGCAACTCAATTACAGTAACGCGAGTAAATGTAATTAGTTACTTTCCACCTCTGTAACAGACACTGGTCAGGGCAGGCAGCAAACGATCAAAACCAGGCAATCAGTCCAAAGTCTAAAAACAGTCAAGGCAAGGAACAAAACAAGGGAAGGAGAACGCTCAGTAGTGTCCAGTAGCAAAACAAGACTTTACGATGAGAGTGTCCCCTGTCCAAATACCCGCATTTGCAACCGCTTGACTGCTTATATGATGTATTTCCTGTATTTGGTCCAAGTGTTCAAGTGAGCAAGAAGACCACAAGTGTGTGTAGAACTTTTCGTCACCTGACTTGTAAAAATTCAAGTGTTTACAGAGCTTTATTTTTATTTTAAATACTTTGCATTTTAAAATAAACTTCTAAATGTCTGTTCAGTAGTCCCTATAACAGATGACACAATTACATTTTGTGGTGCTTCTAATTAAATGATAAAAAGCAGTTGCAAATATAATTTAATATAAAAATACAAAAATAATTATCACTACTACTCATTTGCACCAATAAAACGTGCAACTCTTTGATTTAATACCAATATATTATATGTAATATCTAACTATTATTCATTTTTAACATACATTGGAAATGTTTCTGTGACCTCTTACGAGATCTCGGCAAAAAGTCTCACGATTTATTTCCACAACATGATGCATGATGGGATACACTAAGTCTCGAATAGCACTCCAGAGCGGTATTCGAGATAGTGTGGATTTAGTGTGTTTTAAGGGCACTGCGCTTTGGCATTTTTAAGACCTGGGACAGTCTTGCGCACTTATCTGTCGCACGCGTGCACTCTCAAGTGGCCAAGACCGCAAGTGTGGGTATTTGGACAAGGGGACTGTTTGTGTGCAGCTTATATAGTCCACTGATAGGAAACAGGTGTGACTGTAATCAGTTCCTAGGTTGAGGATTATGGGAAATGGCGTCCGAGAGAAGAAGATGATGGAGACCTCTGGTGCTGAGCGGGAGGAATGACAGGGACTGGATTCACAACACTGCATGTGTACATCAATTAAAGATTCCCCAAGGACTGTAATGTCACCCAATAGTCACATGTTTTTAATCTACTAGAATTTCACTATTGTAAGAAAAAAGGCAAAAGCAAGATAAATGGTATGTGCGGTTATGGTTTATTTTGAATTAAATCATTACATCTCATCTATGAAAAGAAAGAAATAGCCTATTTGGATTAAACACCACAACTAATTGCATTTGAGTTATTTGTTATTGAGGAAAGGAAGGAACATTATTGGATCAGAGAAATAAAGCCACAACTATAATACACCTGAAAACTTATATATGCATGCAGAGATACCACAGTGAAACACATTCTCCAGTTTTTCATTATTTCCTCCAGTCAGCTAAAGGCTGATGGATCTTTTCTTATATTACCACAGTATAAAAACCCTTGCCTAACCCTAACCATATATTTTTACACTTACACTGATTAAAAATTATGAGTATTATGAGCATTTTATCTCAAGAGCCAATATTTGAAGTACACAGTGGCAAGCTAGTACACATACTGTTCTTTACAAAATGAATGTTTAATGTGTACACTCAAAACAACAACAAAAAATTTACGCATTATACTCAGAACAACTTCGTTAGAACAACTTCATTTTTATAAGTTGTTTTTTCACATTGTTTTAAATTTGATTAAATCATGGACACTGGTAATCTCATAAAAACCACCAACATAACAGAAACACTTTTAAATACTAAAAGAACCGAATACTGAACATTAATAAATCTTCTACTATTCTGATCTTGAATAGAAATGCATAAAATATGAGTTTATTTCTACATTATCGCTCATTATTCAGTCACATGCAAAGCATGCCGGGAACCTGAAACCTGAACTTGAAGTTATGGAGCTAATTACATTGAGTTAGTACACCTTAAATAATGTTTTAAAAAAACTAACACAGATATTTAAGTTGAAGTTACACACAGTATTACGTTGATGTAATTATCAACATTAAGATGTCAGGACAACTCATTAAAAATTTTTTAAAACTTAAAATATTCAATTAAATGAATCAACTCATTTCATCTATATGCATGCAGTGATACCACAGTGAAACACATTATCATGTTTTTCATTATTTCCTCCAGTCAGCTAAAGGCTGATGGATCTTAAATTATTTCTTATATTACCACAGTATAAAAACCCTTGCCTAACCCTAACCATATATTTTTACACTTACACTGATTAAAAATTATGAGTATTATGAGCATTTTATCTCAAGAGCCAATATTTGAAGTACACAGTGGCAAGCTAGTACACATACTGTTCTTTACAAAATGAATGTTTAATGTGTACACTCAAAACAAAAAAACAACAAAACAATCACAGTATTACGTTGATGTAATTATCAACATTAAGATGTCAGGACAACTCATTAAAAATGTTTAAAACTTAAAATGTTTAATTAAATGAATCAATTGGAATCTTTAACTTGCACTAATGCATTAAATTAAGTAGTGGCAAAAGACATTCCAGCCACTGACTGGAAGCCACTGTCCAGCAGTGTGGGAGAAGTCACATCTGAAGTCAGACCTGAAGGGGGAAGGAGGTATTTATACAAAGTATACAATGATCATTAAACAAATGAATGCAGGTTCCTTAACATAGGAGTATGCTTTGAATAAACAATCATGGAGAAAATCAGCCTATAGAAAGTGAGACAATATTACATAATATTTATCACTTACCTCCACAATCTCTTGGTCTATTCCGACCGATTCGATCAGCTATGGACCACAAATAATTTTTTATTTCAGCTTCACAGTCTTTCCTCATTACACTTTGTTTTGATGCAGCCTCTGAAAGAGAAAACTCGTTGAAGAATTCATTGTAAATTTGTTGGAAGGTAGTGCTTTAAACTCACAGCTGCTCTTGTACACCCTAAAGAATGTATATGAAATTTGTAGACATCACAAAGTTCACCAAGTGATTGAATTCACAAATACATACAAAACATGAGTAAATACAATATTTCTATGTGTATGTGGGAAGTGTTCATGCAGCAGTGATTACCTCTGATCACATCTGTTAAAATAAGCTTAGAGAAGGGCTTTTTATTTCCTCTCCCCTGCCAGTTAAACTTTGTGGCCAGATCATCTGTTAGGACATGCCGCATAATATTCTTAATCACATCCTTTTGCCCAAAACCTCCAAGTCTTGACAGATATCTTATCTATAAAAATTAAATAATATTTTATAACTGTTTTAATAAGTGTTGTTAATAATTATTACATGTCTTGGAATACTTTTGAATACAAAAATATTTTGTATATAGACCACAAAACTGTGTATGTGCAGTAGAAGAGTAATAATGAATCTGCATTATTATTATAATACTGTATTTCATGTCCATTTATTTTATTTATTTATTTAGTAGGTAGCCGTGGAATAATGTACAGCCATTATTGCTGAATAAACCCCTTACAGGTGCTTCAGGTGAGAGTTTATTTTTCTGTAATGGCTGGCTGAGTGTACATTATCCCTTTCTGTAAATGCCGTGTCGACTCACATATTTTTGGCGTGTTGTTGCATTCTTTGTGAGCTGTCTTTCAGTCATGGCCACATCTTTAATGGTTCTAAGAGGCAGTTTTAGGTTTGTTTTAACGTCTTTATGAGGAATGCTGGTACTGCTGGGGACCTCAGAAACCGTATTGTCTTTTAGTAGCTTTTTTAACATAGCAGAGTTTTCCTGAACTGTGCTCTTGATGTCTCTCAGCATTTGGAGGAACTCATCCTTGTCTGTAGTGTAAAATGAGTTGTGCAGTAACTACAAAAAAGAAAAAACTTCTCAAACTGATTATGACAAAAGAAGTTGACTCACCATCAGCTGACATTCTGGATGTAGATGCAGATGGTGCAGGAGGAAGTTGTTGATTTAACATTTCTTGAGGGCATTCAAGTCTTTGTCTTTTTAGCATTCCAGGGAATCTAGTGGCTAATAGATATGGCCTTTATTTGAAAAGAAAGAATACTTTAACAAAACAGCACAAATTAATTCTTTGACCTTTTAATAAGTAAAATTATTTGAACAAATTGTGTTTTTGGAAACAAAAGTGTCTGTTACTTACTGTTCTTTCCGTACTTTAATTTCTTGTTGCTCCTCTTTTGCCTTCTCAAAAGTGACTGTAATAAGATAAATATTAATTTTATTATTTGAGAACTGAGTAGACTGTACTAAAAAAATCCTAAATTTAAACAGTTGTTTTAAAGTAGTGACCATTACCACATTCTCTGTGAAAGCTAATGTTTAGTTTCTCCCATGGTTTCCCTCCTGTTTCAGCTTTAATTCTGTTCTGAACAGCTTCCGTGCACTTGTCTGGTGATTTGAATGGGGGCCAGTAACATTGTTTCTTGTCGAGGCTCAGCCAGTTTGATGCTACCACCATCACCTCATCTGAGTCTTGCAGAGTAACAACTGCATACATGGTCAGTCTAGTGGAGGGAGAAAAGAAAACAACAAAACAGCATGTTTAGCTCTGATTGTGAGTGCTTAATTTTAAAGTTTATTAAGGGGTCATATGATGTTGCTAAAAAGAACATTATTTGGTGTAATGAAATGTGTTTATGTGTTTATTAAGGTTAAAAAAAACACATTTTCCACATACTGTACATTACAACTTAACCACTGATTTCTAGTCGTGTCCTCTTTTGGAAGGCCAAACAAAGTAGTTTCGCTTTCACAACGAAACACACGGAGGGCTAGAGTGAGCGGAGGCCGGAGGCCTAGAGTGAGCGAAGGCCGGCTTGAGTGAGCGGAGGCGGGCGGGCCTGAGAACGGCTTCGTCATGGTGAAAGCCGATCCAGCGATCCACAGCGAAGTTGATGTATTTCCTCAGCGACCAGCACGGATCAGCTCCAGGCATGACGAAGCGGATATCGTCCACTTTTGGAAGACCAAACAAAGTAGTTTCGCTTTCACAACGAAACACACAGCACCTTCACGACATGGCGGTGGCGGCAACAACAATACTACATTGAGAATAAAAGTTACGCCTTCTTTCTTTGCGTGAACATTTGGGCGGTGTTATGCAAATCTTCCCACATCGTGACGTAGACATGTGGGGGCGTGTTAGAACGAGCCGTTTTAGGTAGGCGTTGTTGACTCTTGAACTTTTATAAAGAATATCTCTTTGGATTTGAGACTTTAGTCTTTGCAACTTTACAGATCTTCTTTATGCACCAAGAGATTGTAACACTCCAAAGAGAAAGGAAAAATTGAAATCGCATAATATGACCCCTTTAAGATGTTGACCAGTCAAATTATCAAGTTATGGGATTGACAAAAATCACAGAAAAGATGAAATTCTGACAAAATACACCAATTCACAGGTATTATTTTTTTAATTGGTTGAGCTAGCCTTGCATTGTTTAGTCAGATGTCTATTTTAATTGCGTCACAAATTATGGCACACACAATATCAATACACAATATATGTATATTATTAAAACACATCAGAAAATGAGATCTTGATCGTCTTCATGATCCTCACCTTCCACCATCCTCCATCAGAATTTATTTTTGCTCATTTATTACAGACCAAAAATCATGCTGTTCACAGACTCTACTCTCTGTATTGCCTTTGTCCATTTTATATTGCATGTAATTCATGAATGTTTCTGCTTACCTTTTGTTACAATCCTCGGCCATAGACTCATTTCCCAAGCACTTTAATTGTTTATCATTAACATTTCCTCTGTATAATTCCTCAATGTAAAACACTTCATTAGCTCTTTCCCTCACAGCAGCTAATACTTTTTCAAGGTCCTCAGGTTGGATGCAAAGTATTACGCTGTCTTTGAAAACTAGAATGTCGTGCCGTTTTAAATGTCCAGCTAATGCAGAGCCAAAGCATTTCAGAGCCAGCATAATGAGAACTGGGGTCAAAGGGCAGCCCTGATCCAGCAGTTTGTCTCTCTCGATTGAAACAGCTACAGATTCAGTATCTACTTCTGGTGCATCTCTGAGGAGGTTTTTCACAATGAGGAAATCCTGATACAGATTTGGGTTTGACCGTTTTTGCTTTTCTATTTCATCCTGAAAATGAGACAACCTCATCTCAGTGCAGAATGTTTTGGGAGTGATCATGACAGTAGCTGAATCTTTTGGTGCATGATCCTTTGACTGAGACTCCAAGTAATCACCTAGACGTTTTGCCAGAATGGTAGCAATGATGAGGTAATCAACGTTAAAGAAGTGTTGACTATTGTCATGGGGACTTTTCACAGTTTCATTAAAGTGTTTCTCAGAGCAGTTAAATGCACCGCTGTGGATTCTGTCATAGAGCATCTTTATATATTGAATTAGATCCTGAATGTTGTCTTTATAGAAGGAAACTGGGATGCCATCTGGTCTCGGTGTGTCTGACACTTGAAGAGAATTTACAGCTGAGAAAATGTCAACCTCACTGACTGCCTGTGAGCTTTCTTCACCTAGTGATGAACCCGCCTCATCTGTAAAAAGATGCTGTTTTAGATTCAGCCATTGGAAGATTGTTTTTATCTGGCGATATTTCTGAAAAGGCATTGTGGGGATGTTGTTGATCTCTAAAGACACAGGCCAATGGTCGGGCCTCTCTGAGTTTCTAATGTCACAACTTCTGACACGCCACATACATTCTTCTGGAACAAAGAAGTAATCCAGTCTGGACACAGGAGAGTCTTTTATGTAGTATGTATAATCCTGCTTTATGGGGTTCTTTCTTCTCCAGACATCAACCAGCTGAAGAGATTTCATGAACTTTTTCACAAATAAGAGCAGTTTACGTTGATTTCCGTTCTTTATCTTCTTGCTTGTATTACATTTTTTGTCAATAAATGGATTGAGAACTGTGTTGAAATCTCCACCAATCACCAGAAGCCCTGTGGTCATTGACTGCAGGTAACTTGAAAGTTTATCAAGGGTTCTTGTGTCTGTTTCATGGTTATAAACACTAACCAGAGTGTACGGCTGACCTTTCAGTTTACATTTCAGCACAACATAAGTTCCACAGTTATCTTTTTCATCACTTATGTGCTCAAACTCTAGTCTTCTCCTCACTAGTATTGCTGTTCCCTTGCTGCAGGAGGTGTACTTTGTAAAGTAAATATACCACTCATCTTTATAGTCTTCTAGATGTTCGTCTCCTGTTCCGATGTGCGTCTCCTGTAAGAAGACAATGTCTGCATTTTGTAGTTCTTGAAATTTTTGATCTCTGTTTTGTTTAAGTCCATTAACATTCCAAGTGATGAAGTTTATGGTCGGTGAAGCCATTGACAGATCTGCTCTCACAGACCAACGATCCTCAGCTTAGTAAGTTCTGTCAAAACAAAGAATGATGGAGGGTAGGAACTTTTTGTTTTGAGTCAATTGCTGAAACTTTCATGGTATACTGACAGTAATAGAAGCATTTTACAATTGACAGATATTTAGTTTACATTTGATCAGTTTGTGCCTTCATTCGGTTGCCATTGTGCTATACTCTTAATTTTTCATTCTATGCAGTCTGTTTAATTATCTTTTTGTGTTGTAAAGTTTGGGTTGTCAAATTTTTTATATATATATATATATATATATATATATATATATATATATATATATATATATATATATATTATGTCTGTCATCGTTAACGTGTTAACGCATGCGATTAATTTTACAATCCTTAATGCGTTAAAATAATTTAACGCAATTAACACAAAATTACTAAAGCACAATTTCTATTCTAACCCTTTAACCCAATTTTGCTTATCTGTATAGCCAGATGAAACGCAAACTACGTTTTCTCGACTAGATAACCAGTCTCGCTAGTAAAGTTTTGATGGATGAAGACTGCAATCAAGGTAAAAACGATTGCGGTGGCGTACAGTAAGCACGCGTGAGTCCGTTATAATAATGCGTGTATGAGTGTGTGACGAGTGGGGGCGGGGCCGAGAGCAGTGGGAACGGAGCGAGGCTGGTGGAGTAATTGATAATGAACGACACCTGCACCACTCACCAGTCTCGAGTACCACGGAGGAGCTCCGGAAGGATAAAAGGAGGAGTGACGACAGAGATTATTTTGTGTTTTGTGTGCGGCAGTCGTCCGCGAGGGGCTGCCGCTTTACTTTCATTTTGTGTTTCTTTATTTTATTAAAGTCTTAAATGTTCGCCGGTTCCCGCCTCCTTCGTCCCGTGACTACGAACTTTGTTACATTGGTGCCGAAACCCGGGAGGAAGGAGGGACACACTGTCAGAGAGACCTCGCTGCTGAGGGGGATCGCGGTGCTGAGGAGATCGGGCAGCAGGAACACGCGGAGAGACCGCCAGTGGCTGCCCGAGGCGGTGGTGCTGGAGCTATGGAAGACGAGGGGGGACGGAGAGGTCGCTGCCGCGCTCCTGGGTCGAGGTGGGGTAGCTGCCGCCCGTGAGGGAGCGGAGGAGTCTGCCCGTTCGCCAGGAGGCCGGAGCCTGCTGCCATCCGCCATGATTGGGGAGGAGCAGGGAACGGGGGACTTGCTGCCGGCTGCCCTCAATTGGAGGAGCCATCGCCGTCCGCCAGGAAGCGGAGGAGCGGTGGGCCGTCCATCAACGATGTCCAGTACCATCGCGTGGCACCGCGAGTGAGAGCCTCTCAGCTGGTTGGGGACCAAGTGGCAGTGTGTCTGGGAACCCTCTCTCGTATCTGTCTCTCCTCATCCTTCGGTCTCCTTTTTTCTCGCCTCGTCTGTCTGTCCTTACCCCCAGGTACGCCGCGGCCGCCGAGATCGGCTCCCCCGGAGGGGGGAGGGGGGAGAAGAGCGCAGTCTCGGGAGTACCCCCCGGCCAGCGAGGGGCGATAGGGTTATGTGACGAGTGGGGGCGGGGCCGAGAGCCGTGGGAACGGAGCGAGGCCGGTGGAGTAATTGATAATGCACGACACCTGCACCCCTCACCGGTCTCGAGTCCCACGTAGGAGCTCCGGAAGGACAAAAGGAGGAGTGACGACAGTGAAAGGGGAGAGAGGACCAGGCCTGGACTTTATTTTGTGTTTTGTGTGCGGCAGTCGTCCGCGAGGGGCTGCCGCTTTACTTTCATTTTGTGTTTGTTTATTTTATTAAAGTCTTAAATGTTCGCCGGTTCCCGCCTCCTTC